ATCGGGTCGCGCATATTAGGCTTTGAAAAGGTGATCTGCTGAAATATTAGCGAGTAAGGTTCATTAAAATCTCGCGTATGGCACAAATTTCCCATTTCAAAGGTCAATTTCTCAAGAAGATTGTATTTTAAAGATCCTGAAGATGAAATCTCTAAGTATGTGCAAAATCTCCTACGCCACTGACTGCAAAAGTTTCAGTTCCATGATAGAAACTTGGGTTGATTTGCTCCCAATTTGCTATGCGTAAAATACTTTTTTACAAAATCTCAAACAGATCTTTAGGCTGCTTCTATAAACAGCAGTCTACCAGCCGTCTCCTACGTCAAATCTGTCGACATCTGGATTGGAGTTTGTCTTGCGTTTATCTTCGCAGCTGTGCTAGAATTTGCATGGGTCTCATATAAAGGGAATTTGTACACTAACTGTGAGATCTTCTGTACTGTAACATGCTTGATATTTTAAGAATTTGACTAGTTTTAAGGTGTGGCACATTCCCAGAGGGCCGGTACAATGGAAAAAGAATCCAACGAAGGAAGGAGAAAAGAGGTAAAAATTAAACCCTTCTTTCATTAGAGTTTAGGATGTCTTATCGTTGACCTCTTATTTGAAATGATCGAAATCTATATCTAGTCAAGCAACGACGCTTGGGGAGCAGCAAAAACCGATGAGGAAGTGCTGTGTAGTGATCAAGGCGCGCCTTTGTATAAAAAACATCTAACATGGTGGCAAAAATGGAAAGTTAATGCAGATTCTGCAAAGATGATTGACCTGAAATCAAGTCAGTTTTCACAGTTTTAGGACAAGCTCATGATCGAAGAAGGATTAGTGAGCCATGCACCTTTTCAGGAGTTATTTTCCCAATACTGTTCTTCATATTCAACATAATCTACTGGTCATGGTGTGCATTCCGATAACGGACAGTTTTGCAGACGAGAAGCTACCCAAGCTAACATGTAGACTGCTTTATACAGATGCTCAATGGGTATAACAAATTGAAGGGTTTTCAAACCCAAAATCTTAAATAAATTTCATGGAAAGTCCGCTTATCCTCCGAGTTTGTTCCATTGTGTTAATGGTTTGGCATTATTCTGGAAAGATTAGGTT